AACTTTACTTGTTACATTCTCTGTCACCATGTCCTCTCTCCCCCTTCCCACCACCCCAGTGGGGCTCTTCTTTTCTTTTTACTTTGGCAGCTAGAGACACTGTTGTTCTGCCATTCTCACATTCTGATCATTTAATCTGAACTACCAACATCCATTCTTCCCCAGCACTCTGCACTCCACCCTCCCCCAACTATAGCATAAATGCTGCCTCCTCCACACTTCATGTCAGCTCTGATGAAGAGTCATCTAGACTTAAAACGTTAGATTGCTCTTTCTTCATGGATACTGCTGACCCAGAGTGATTTCCAGCATTTGTTGTTTTCAACATTCGTCATCTGTTTGAGCACAAGACCTCTCTGGACTTGAAGCAGCTACAGCAAACTTTTTTACAACCTGCAAATAACTTCCATGTCTGTTCCCGTAAACCAATAAGTGTATTTTTTTTCCATTAACAAGCTGCTACCTACAGTCCAAGGGTCACCTTCAGCTCTCAGCTCACAGTTCACAACTTCAAACCAAAAGTAATTTGGAAAAGAAAACCCATAATGAGGAATCAGTGAGAGTTGTAACAAATCCTGGAAAGGAAATAAACAATTACCTTTGTATCGTTAACTTGATGAGTGCATCTTTTTTTCTGATTGCTTAACTAGCCTTAATTTTAATTGGCTAAATCTAGTTGGGAATTTGCTGATGATTAATCTCTTTGATCCTTTATTTTTCAGACAGAGTTATGAGGAACTGGAAAGAAAGCTGAAGCAGATTTCCTCAGAGAAAAGTAGCCTCCTTCAGCAACTCTCAAAGTCAGCCACAGAATTGCAAGGAATGAAAGGAAACCTTCAGGTTAGTCAACTGTCCTTGACAACCATCTTAAGGATTGTTAGAGACAACAAGGTGCAGGGCTGGATGAACACAGCAGGCCAAGCAGCATCGTAGGAGCAGAGAGGCTGACGTTTCGGGCCTAGACCCTTCATCAGAAAAATAAATCATTTGCTAACATCTTTCATCAGCCTCTGGGCTAGAAATAGTATTTCACGCTGCATAAAATTAATATAACACAGAAGGCAACAATAAACAGAATTATCAAAACATGCAAACTTTGTGTCAGTAACACTTAGTCCAATTATAGACTGGAATTTAAGGGAATTGTTGTAATGGTTGAACCTAAAACATACAAAGCTTCTGTGAAATTTGAAGTGACAAACAAAAATATGTGGAAGTAATGGACTTCTACCCAGTGATAAGTATTTTCTAAACAATCCAGAGTATAGAAATTGGTGAGTCATATTGTAGCTGTATAAAATTTTGGTTAGACCACATTTGGAATATTGTGTACAGCTCTGGTCATCACACTACAAGACTGGTATGGAGTCTTTGGAGATGTTGCCTGGTTCAGAGGGTATTAGCTTTGAGGAGGGATTGGACAAACCTGTTTTGATTTCACCTTAACATCGAAGGATGAGGGGTAACCTGAGAGAAGTTTACAAAATTATGAGAGGAATGTATAGTTGGACTCCTTTTATTTTCTACCAGGGTAGCAACGTTAATTACCAGGGGACATCGGTTTAAGGTAAAAGGGGCTACGTTTAAAGGAAATGAGAGAGGCAAGTTTTTTTTCTTTACAAAGAAGGTGGCAAATGCCTGGAATGCATTGCCAGAGGAGGTGGTGGAGGCGGATACATTAGCAATGTGTTAAGAGTTATCTGGACAGATATATGAATTGGCACGGAATAGAGGAATGTGGACTGTGTAGAGGCAAATGGCATTTAGTTCAGAGAGGCATCATGTGTCAGTACAATCTTGGTGTGCCAAAGGGCCTGTTTCCTGTGCTGTACTGTTCTTTTCTTTTGTTCTTTTTGTTCTATGACCCTACCTCTGAGCCTGGAGATCTGGTTCATGTCCCACCTGCTCCAAAGGTATGTAATGACATCTGCGAACAAATCAGACTACCATGGGATTTTGATCAGATGGGCCAATGGGCCGAGGAGTCTAATTTAGATAAATGTGAGGTGCTCCATTTTGGAAAGACAAATCAGGGTAGGGCTTGTACACTTAATGGTAAGGTTGTGGGGAGTGTTGCTGAACAAAGAGACTTTGGAGTGCAGGTTCATAGTTCCTTGAAAGTGAAGTCACAGGTAGATAGGATAATGAAGAAGGCATTTGGTACGCTTGCCTTTATTGGTCAGTGCATTGAGTTATAGAAGTTGGGAGGTTATGTTGCAGCTGTAAGGGCATTGGTGAGGCCACTGTTGGAATACTATGTGCACTTCTGGTCTCCCTGCTATAGAAAGGATGTTGTGAAATTTGAAAGGGTTCAGAAAAGATTTACAAGGATATTGCCAGGGTTTGGAGGGTTTGAGCTATGGGGAGAGGCTGAATCGGCTGAGGCTATTTTTCGCTAAAGCGTCAGGGGGTGACCTGATAGAGGTTTATAAAATCATGACGGGCATGGACAGGGTAAATAGACAAGGTATTTTCCCCAGGGTGGAAGAGTCCAAAACCTGAGGGCACAGGTTTAAGGTGAGCGGGGAAAAATGTAAAATGGACGTATGGGGCAACTTTTTCATGCAGAGGGTGGTGCGTGTATGGAACTGCCAGAGGAAGTGGTGGAGGCTGGTACAATTACAACATTTAAAAGGCATCTGGATGGGCACATGAATAGGAAGGGTTTAGTGGGATATGAGCTAAATGCTGACAAATGGAACTAGATTTATATCGGATATCTGGTTGGCTTGGATGAGTTGGACTGCAGGGTCTGTTTCTGTGCTGTATATCTGTATGACACTATAACAAGTTGGTTAGAAAATGCTGACCACAATGATGGAGATGAGAATCATTACATTATTATAAATCCTCAACTCGACACTGAATATTCATGTTGCAATCTCTGAGTCAACTGAGTGCATATACTCTTGTTCTGATTTACAAGCAGCTGGCACTAACAATTCCTGTACCAGTTGAGGATCCCACCCTCTCAACCTTGCCCCTTGCCTGAGGTTTGCTGACTCTCCGCTTAAACCAATGCCAGTTATATCTTGCTCTCGCTGTCTCCCTTTGTCTCTCTCTTGCTGTCTCCCATTGTCTCTCTCGCTCGCTCTCTCTCGCGCTTTCTCTCTTTCCGCACCCCCCCTCCCAACAAAAACGAGACAGTGGTCCTGTGGTTGTCTGGGACTATGGTGACTTGACCCAATTCATGTGGTAAAGTTATAGGTTGGGGCTTTCAAGTCTTAACAAGTTAATAGGCCTTTCAGTTGTGATAAGGATATGAAATCTACTGGTGTTCACCACATAGCTCAAGTGATTTCAGCAATGTTTTAATAAGGCTAAGTCATGGGGCTGTGCAGGCAAAAGCAGAAAGTTCTGAAGAAGTCATACCAGACTCACGCTGTTAACACTTTCTCTCTCCACAGATGCTACCAGAATTGCTGAGTTTCTCCAAGAAATAGCTACCGTTTTTCACCTAATTTTTTAGAATTTTTTTGATCCTTTTTGTGACAATACAGTCAAAATGTAGTCTGGATGTACTTTACGACATCTTTATTATGTCCATTAAATCCATTAGTCTCAAACTCTGAACATTGTTCCTTCCCATCTCTGTATGCTTGCTGAATTCTGTTGACTGATAGGCTCTTTAATATGTGTAATTAGGTACTCTGATTTAGGATTCACAAAAAAATATTCAAGTTCACTTCAATTAGGATCCCAATAGTGACCAAAGGGTAGAATTTAAATTCTATTTCAGATTTCACATTGGCCTCAGGATCCCATATTTCCCCCCAGGTGCTTTTGCCCCACAACCTGAGCCACCTCCTGAGATTATGTTGTTTAGGGAAGCAAAACAGCTGGATATGTGTAGACCATTGCAGCACACTCTCCACCCCTTCTCCTTTTATCCGCCACCCAGACCTATTTACACCGGGCAGTGCAACTTCCCAGTGGAGGGTTGTCTAAGCGAAAGTCCTCCGTCTTTCCCTCGGGGATCTGGGGTGGTGGGTGTTGTACGCAGCAGTCCCCTGTAATCACAGATTGGGGTGGCTCACAGAGTCCCAGCCCAACTGTTTGTTTCGTGGAGCTGTGGAGTCCATAGACCACGTGTATATTGGTTGGGGGCATTTGCACTCCTTCTTTAATTAATTACCTAAAGGACCTTCTCCTCTGCTTTTGGTTGCACTTTAGCCGCATGCTCCTGATCTTCAGGCGGAGGGGTGAGGGCAGGTTGGAGAGTCTCCTCATGGACCTGGCCTCCTCCCCCCAGACTGGATGTTAACGGGTGCGGGCAGCAGGCCACGGAGGAGTTTATTTCTGCCGATTGTCTGCCCCTCGTCTGCAGTTATGTTCGAACCCGGGTGTCCTTGGAAAGGGAGCACACAGTACTCTCAATGCCTTCAGGGAGAGGTGGGCACAGTGGGGATTAGAATATTTTATTTCCCCCTCCAATTCTATTTTGATTTGATCCCTACCAGGCTTTGCTTGTAATTGGTTCCCTGGCCATATGGGTGTTTTTCCTTCTGGTGGAAATATTGAATATAATTGTTTGTACAATGGTGTTTTCGCTAAGCCCCTACACAACACAACATGGGTGCTGTGGGGAAAAATAAGCATTACCAAAAAAAAATTAAATTTTTAAAAAAATTCTATTTCTGGAGGTGTAAGTAGTGGCCTGGGCTTTCCAAGGGCTAGATAATTAGTTTTGAAGTAGAGATGGAAGTTGGGCATGGGGACCCTGCAGAATCACCTTTGTGTCAGAGAAATTAAAGAGCAATCCCCATATGCCTGGAATTCCCCACAAATATCCATTGAAATCGACAAATTTGAAGGGTTCTGCTGCAATTAAGTTAATAGTTAGTGAAAAATACCTAGTCTAACTCCTGAGTAACTATTAAACTGACTGTCCAATTTAACTCTCACACCCACATCAACACCTCCTCCAGACCCTGACTCGACTTTACCTCTACCCCAGGGGCCTGACATCATACTGCTGTCATCCAGATTGACACAATTCCCCTCCTCCATAAACAAACCTGATACTTCCAGCCCCCTTTTCACCCTGCTCGACCCAATATCTCCTGCGTGGCTCGACGTATCCTATCCCCACACCTGCCAGATCGCCTTGCTATATTGTGCCTTTATCCAACGCCTTACCCACCTGTCACTCTACCCTCTATCCATTTGGCAGCCTCCCAGTTTGGCATCCTACTTGCTGGCATGCTATCTCATACCCACCTGAGCACACCAAGTACATGACATCTTTCTCCTACCTACATGGCACTCTGCCCCCTATCCACCGGACAACCTAGTTACCTAGCATCCTACCCTGTTGGCTCCCTAGCCTCACACTTGCCTTACATACTTACCCTTCCACAGGAGTTGTCTTTAATGCTGGACCTTTGAATTTGGTGACTGACTGCTGTGAGAAAGAGGACATAGTTTGTCTTCTCCTGACTGTCTACACTATGAAGGACTTGTCAGAATGGAAGTACAGCATGGTACTTCTGAATCCACACCGCTGCAACTCCCACCCTGCTCCCCCCCCTCCGCCCCCAACCCTTACCAATCAGAACCTCCTGGCATAAATGCAGAGCTCTTTCACTGCATCAGAAAAGAAGGGGAAAAGTGGCAATCTGCATGTGATTGCCACTCAGTGGAAAATGCGGCTCAGTCTGTGTCTCTATAACATAGATAATACATTATATGCTTCACAAGAAAGTCTATGCCCTCAATATCTACCAGCACATCATAAAAGATACCTGCTGCTAGCATTTGTTTCTGTTTGGAGGATTCTTTTTTGGTGATTTACTGTCACTAACACTTCTTGCAATTCTTGACTTTGACACTGGTATAAA